ACGCAGCGACCTGCACCTCGACTCGGAGCGATGGAATACGGCGATCGAACTTTGCATGAGTGGTTGGTACTCATCGGCAACTCCCGGGGAACAGGCGCGCCAGCATCTCCAACAACCGTGGCCCCTCCATGATCATCGTCGTGCGCGCTCCCTTCGGCAACGTGCCCTCGCACATCTTCGGCAACGGGACTGGGTCGCCGATCCGTCGCGCATGAGTGAAGCGGAAAAGGCTGACCTCCTTCGGGTGCGCCAGGTATTTCCGTCTGGGCCTCCGATGTCGCTCAACCCACTCTCGCGCCTCTTGCAGCACCTGGTGCCTGAGGAAGGCGACTGCAACGACAGCGACGCTCCGTTCCCGCCCGACGAGGACAACCGCAGTGTCGACCCTGTCGGCTACCCTGTGCCCACAGACCTGGACATGGAGCACATGGCGGCTACTGCTGTGGCGAACGGCGTGGGCAACCCCGATGGCGACGACACCGAGATGGCGACCGACGAATATGCACATCATGTTGGTCCGATCTTGACAGACGAGGAATTCGAAGCCCAAGTACAGGCTGCCATGCGCCGCTCGAGGATGGACACGGACGAGCCGTCTGACCCTACGGCCTCATCCTCTAGGATACCAGCCGCAGCTCCTCTTTCCCCTGCGGTGCCACATGAGACAACCTCTTCCAGCAGCTCCGACGACGGCTTCAACGAGACGATGGCGGCGCACGGGTCTGGGGTCAGATATCCGATGGGTCAGTCGGTGGCGCTGTGAGACTGACAATGCAAAGTCGTGATTCGGGCGCTTCTCCCTCTGGGGCCGCGGCACCTGCTACCTCGTCGGCCTCTGCTACAGCTAGCGCAGATACCCTCAATGGACTTCGGCATTGGAGTGCTGCCGTTCGTGGTGCCCTGCATGTCGCTCGATCGGCTTCGGTATTTTCAGGGTCGCTCTCAGCCCAACAGATGGCGCACGCGGTGGGCTACCTGAACGAGAACTACGACCTTTCGGACGAGCAGCGGAGACTGGTTATCTGGATGCTTCAGAACCTTGATAGCGCACTGGAAGGCGACGATGACGGCGATCTGGATTTCGAGCTGCTGGGGGTCGGACAGCGAGGGCGGCGACCGATCTGGTTCAGGCCCTGCTCGGCCTTCTCAGCTGGGGACACAAGGATTGGGAGCTTCTCGACCGCGGGTTAATGGGTTCACCAATCGTGTTCGCGTTTCCTGGCAGGCTAACCGCACGGGGGCATCCCCGCAGCCTGCTGACATTCTCCCTGGCCACGTTCAACATGATGATGCTGTCGCTGCGGATGCCCAATCCTCTGGCAGTACAGTTCATGGTGATGATGTACCTTCCGATACTGTGGCTGCCGCTTCCTTCTCGCCACCTGCTACTACGACTCCAGCTAACAATGGCACTTCGATGTCCATTGAGGACGATGAGGATGTTTTGGCCCGTCTCTTGGAAGCGGAAGAGGATGATGGCAACGATTTCGCCGCGGCCCAGCCCGAGGTTGTGGCATCTGCTGCTTCGCCAGAGGACCCAGAAGATCCTGATGGCCAGCATGCGGCGCTCTCTGCCCTGGTTCTTGCGGATGGCGACGGCGCCGCCCTTCCTGCTGGTACAGTTCCTGATGCTGGGCCTCTTCTTCCTGACGGCGCTGCCGTCGCTGGCTCGCCCCCCGACGGCGCCAGCTTCCACCACGACGACTTCGGCGACCATCTCGCCTCCTCGGCGGAGGACCTGAGGACAGGCCCCGCGCGGGCCGCGGGCGGCGCGCCCAGTGCTGCTTAGAGCGGTGCGGCTGGGGTGGGGACTCTCCCTGGGGCGCGGGCTCCTGCTCTTCCTCCTCCTACTGATCCGCCTCCTCTTCCTCCTCCTCCTCCACCTCCTTCTCTTCCTCCTCTCCTGCTCCTGTCTTGCTCCTTCATCCCTCCTCCTTCCTGGTCCTCACCTTTTGCCCCCCCCTGCTCACCATCAGCCATCTTTGTTTGAGGTGGCGACGCGGCGCGTCGCTCTAACCGCCCACTTCTCGCCAGCCGGCTGCCGCACCAAGCTTTTACATTTGAAAACACGTGCCAGGTGCGTATGCGCCACACGCATGTTGGATACCCCCCGTCCGCGCACGTACTCTTGCGTGCGATGAATCCGTTGACCACATGTTGGATACGCCGCGTTAGCGCCCGTACACTTGAAAGCAATTGCCAACCATGCCCGCGTCAGACACACGATGTTTCCGCGCACGCCCGTCTACGCACAAAGAATCCGCCGACAGCATGTACGAAATCGCCCTGAGGGCCTGGACAAATGCGCAAGCGCCTCACGCATGCGGGGCATCCAACCTCCGCGCACGCATTGCACGCGCGAAAGAATCCGCCGACCGCATGTTCAACATCCCCTTGGAGGCCTGGACACGTGACAGCGCGTCCAAAATGCGCACGCGCTGGACGCATGTTGGATACCCCCTTCACATACGTTCTTGCACATGTGAACAGTCCGCCGCCGACCGCGTGTTCAACACCTCCTTGTGGGCTTGGGCACTTTTTTTTAAACGAAAACAAAAAAAAACGCGCAAGTAGTCTCACCTGCGAAGATTGCGTCGACTGCATGTCCGAAGTCTCTTTGGGGGCCTGGACACGTGAAAACAAATGGCAAACGCGCACGCACCAGCCGCATGTGGGCCCCTCCCCCTCCGTGCACGTATTTCTATGCGTGAAGATTCCGCCGCCCGCATGCTCGACATCCCTCTGGCTGCCTGGACATGTAAAACCACACGAAAAACGCGCTGAAGCCACACGCATGTTGGATACCCGTCCGCGCGCGCATGTGCACGTTTGAATAATCCGCCTAGCACATGGCCGACATCGCCCTGGGGGCCTGGAAACTTGAGATACCATGCCAAACGCGCACGCGCCAGACGCATGCTGGATACCACCCCATCCGCGCACGTGCTTGCACGCGTGAAGAATCCGCCGACCGCATGTTCGACGTGCCTGCGAGGGCCTGGACATGCAGAACCCATGTGACAAATGCGCCCGCGCTAGACGCATGTTGGGCGCCCCCCTCTCCGCACCCTTCTATCCGTGGAGAATCCGCCGACCGCTTATTCGACATCCCCTCTGGCCGCTGACGCTGACACGTGAAATCACATGACTGACGCGCACGCGACAGAAATGTTCGGGAAAACCCCTCCGCACATTTATTTCGAGAAGAATCTGGCACCACCTGTTCGAGAGCCTTCCTGTCTGGGGCCAAAAGCCCGCCCGCTCGAAGAGAACCTTTGGCCAAAGCCTTTACTGGGCAGGACCTCCCATCGTGATTGTTTACCGACGAGGGGGGCCCAGGTAATTGCAGAGAGGTGCCCAGAGATCCGCTGCCTTGTTTTTCTCAGGACGAGGTGCCCGAAGTCTTGTTTTCTACCAAGCGCCGGCGTTTCGTCTTCAGCCGTTGTTTGACGGCCCCGCGGCCTGGCGAGGCCCCCGGGGGTAGATCAGTGCGAACAAAGCTCTGGCGTGTTTTTTGCTCAGTGCGCTGGGCCTTGAGATCCGACGCCACGAAAAAGTTACAACACCGTGGAGAATCATCACCTGGACCCCAGACCCCAACATTTTGCTGCATGCATCGAGCGGGATCGAGCTGGGAGGGCCCTGGCGACCGAAGCCGGACGAAAACGCCCAACGTGAAACGTGTGCCTCGTTTGGGTCCCAGATCGGCGGCGAGCGAGTGGGGAAAGTGAGAAAGAGAAGACCTTCTCAGAAGGCGGCGGGACTTCTCAGAAGCCCTCGCGCCTGCTGAGAGGTTTCCTGTGTCTTCTGGTACGGCTTAGAAAACATCTCGGAAGGCCAGGGGAGTTCCGAGCCGTCTGACAAGACCCGCCCCTTCTCACTTCCCCTTGGGCTCGCCGCCGACCAGACCCCCGACATGATGTTTCATGACGTTCGCCCCCAGATGTCTCGACCCATTCCCCAGGACCAGTTTTTCGCCCCTCTTTTGGTGGCCCCGAGGACGGCGAGGGCACCCAGAGGCCGAAGACAGCGAAAAATAGTCCGCATGATTTTATGCTTCCGTTGAACTCGCAGAAAAATATCCAGCTGCCTACGGCAAGTCCCGCCACCGTGCTTAGGTTATGGGTTATAAGCCTAGTGGATGTTCGTTGGAATCTCGGGGGAGGCCTCTCGGGGGCCTCTTGGGGGCCGTATTGGAACATATTGGGGGCCTCTTGGGGGCATTTGGGGGCCTGTTAGGGGCCTTTGGAGGGCTTCTTAGGGGCCTCCTGGGGGCGCCTTTTCTGGCCTCCTGGGGGCCACTTGGGGCGGAAGGCTCGGATGTTCGGTTCGTGCTCCCTCTTTGGGGCTCCGTCGTTGGGCCCTCCTGGGCCGTCTTGGGCGCCTCTTGGGCCGTCTTGGGGCCCTCTTGGAGGCCTCTTGGGGCCGTTTTGGGGATTATCTTGGGGGCCTCTTGGGCTGTCTTGGAGCGTCGGAAAGCCGAAAGGCGAGAACGCCAAAATCTTTTAAAGAAAAACGCAAGGAAAATCAATGTTTTTTGCCTTTGGGGGCCCTCTTGGGAGACCTAGACCTCTTGGAGTCCTCTTGGGGCGCCTTGGAAGCCTCCGGGGCCGTCTTGAGGCAAACTTGAGTGTCTTAAAGCGATCGTTCGGCGACTCGGCGCCCTCTTGGACCGTCTGGGGTGCCTCCTGGGCTGTCATGGAAGCCTTGGAGAGCCCCAGAGCATGGCCGGTGCACGCGACGAGGTGCGGCCTGGAGGGGGGGACCATCAGAAGATCACGAAAACCCTACCAGACAGCACTTCACGCCTCAACGTGCCAGGGGGCACGGTGGCGGATAAACACAAAAACCAAAAAGCGTCGACCCCCAATCCTAGCTGCTCGGTCCCTGGCGACATCGACGAAGACGACGACGACGACGAAGAAGACGACGACGACGACGACGACGACGACGACGTCGAACAGTGTCTGGCGGCGTCGAGCGTGACGGGCGGCTCCCAGGAGTGCCTCTCCGACCAGCCCCCGGCCTCGGCATCCGCCGCCAGCCGGGGCAGCACTCCCGCGGCGACGCCCCGGGAGGCCCGTCGGGGGCTCGTAGGAACGAGCCGAGTTGAGCGACGTAAAAAAACGATGTTTGCGCCGACATTGGCGCGTAAGCTGCCGCACATAAGCGCCTCTTTCTCCAAAGTAGCGTGCCGCGCTGGCGGCCCGCGTAAGCCACCGCATAAGGTCGCTGCGTCACCTCGCGCAAGACCCGTATTTGATCGTCGCCCAGGTGGTGATGGGGAACGAACCCAGCTGGATGTTTACAATCCCTCCTTCCAGGAGCCGTTCAGAGCGATGTTCCTCACAACCCCACCTCTGCCCCCACCCTCACGTCCCCTGGAGCTCGGGGCTCGCGCAGCGGGGGTCAGCGCGATCTGGGCGCCAGGCTGGCCTGGGCGGACGGCAACCCCAAACCCCCCCGGGTCATAAACAAAGTACCATGGGAAGTGCTTGCCCCAGGCATGCTTTCCTGCGTCTTTGCAAGCATCTCCCACAGGCGTTTCCTCCTCCTCCTCCTACTCCTCCTCCTGGTCCTCCTCCTCCTCCTCCTCCTTCTCCTCCTCCTCCTCCTCCTCCTCCTAGCCATTTCCAGGTCCCAGACCTTTGTGGCAGCGCGATTGGAAGTGGCACAGCTGTCACGGGCCAGTTGCATGGCACCCAGCAACCGTCGCAATGCGCCGCCGCCGCTCCGACAGTGGAAGTGCAATGGCAGTTGTGGCGGACACAAGAACCGTGGTTGGCGCACGCAGTGCCAGCAGTGTGGGAAGAAGGCTCCGCCCTGGACTCTCGAAGCTATCGCAGCGCACGGGACTCAGGAACCGCCCACGGCTGTGCCGCCGAGGGCAGGAGGCAGCTGGGGCAAGGGGCCCCCCCCCGTCAACTCGCACGGCGGCACAGATCAAGGAGGAGGCTATGTTGCAGGCGAGGCGGGAGCTCCAGCAGGCGCTGCTCGCTAACCCTGCAAAGCACGGCATGTCGGAAGGGCAAGCACACGCGGCGTCAGCGACGCTTGTGCCAGTTGAAGTGGATGAAGACATGGGTGTGGTCGCGAAGGCGGACTTGTCAACTAAGTCCCTGCAAGACCTACACCTGCGTACGACCAAGAAGGAGAAGCAGCTCGAGAAAGCCACCGGGCGGGTGCAGCTGGCGCGGGAAGTGCTGGCAGCCAAGCAGGCGGAGCTGGATCAGGAGCTGGAGTACCAGAAGCAGCATAGTGAGGCGCTGGAAGAGATCAGCGCGGTCATCAAGAAGAAGGAGCTCGCCAACGCTGTTCCCATCCTTGGGAAGGTCGCGGAGGGCAAGAACGACGGCGGCACGGCCAGCGAGCTTCTCAGCCTGGTGCAAGAGGTGCTGGGCAAGCTCAAGACCTCGGAGCACCTTGCGGGGCTGGCGGCCCCGATCATGGTCTTTGGCTCGGCGCTCGAAGAGGAGGCCACTGCCATCAAGACCAAGCTCGCGGAGCACGCGAAGCAGCAGGAGCAGGCGGCCGCTGAGGCTGCGTGTCAAGCAGCTGGCGGTGGGGCTCCTGTCAGCGGTGCTGGTGGTGCTGCAGGCGACGAGGATGGCGGCGTGCAGTTTGACTGGGGTGACCCCAGCCTGCCTGAGCGCCTCAAAGCCGCAGGTTTCCCCGAGTGCGACCCTGCCAAGCCCGAGGATCGCGAGAAGCTCAAGCGGTTCCAGGAGTGCCTCACGCCCGCCAAGAAGGCTCGGATTACCACCAGGCCAGGGCTTCAGCGGAGCTGGCGCTGCAGGGGAGTGCGGCGTATCGAAGATTGGATATCTCAAGCAGGTGGGCATCTCATCCCCCTGGCACTCGAAGCGGAATTCCAGAAGAGGCAGCTGGGCAGTCAGAGTGCTGAGCTGGAAGACCTGGCGATTGTGTCGTCCAATGTCACGTACTGGTCGAAGGCTCAGGACTTGTGCGCATGGTATGCGGACGCGGATGCAAACAGAGATGCGCCCGACGTTTTTCTGTTTCAGGAGCATCGGCTCAAGTTTGACAAGCAGCTCAGCTCGGCAAAGAGATGGGTTGGGAGCAATATGTTTGGTGGGCAGTTGGTGATAAGCAAAGCTGCTAGCACAGGTGAAGGTGTGATGGAGTCCTCTGCAGGTGCTGCCATCTCCTCGTTTGCGCCTGTGCTTGCACATGAAGTGCCAGCATCTCTTCGACGCGATCTCCCTGGCAGCCGATATCAGGTCGCGGCAGTCAACACAGGACTCGCTGTGCCAGTCTACGTCATCTCGGTGTACCTGACGACGAACATTGGTATGACTGAGCCGAAAGTATCGTAACTCTGAGGCTTGCTGCAGCCGGTGCCCCTGCTCCCAGGGCCATGGATAGCTGGCGGCGACTGGAATATGGAGCCACAGGACCTCCAGGAGTGGGCACGGCGTGCTCGTAGAGTTGTAGCGGCCACGGAGGAGACCACCTGTGGCAGCAGGAAGCTGGATTTCTTCATATACTCTCAAGTTCTTGAGCAGTGGCATGGAGGTTGTCTCGGTGTTGGGCACGCCGATCTGCACGCACGTTCCCGTCTTGCTCGAGCTGCGGGGGCTTCTCGCGAGGGCCACAGTCACGGCAGCAGATGGACCTGAGGGTTATCCTCTTCAGCCCCCTCCCCCTGCTCGGCCTGCGCCTAGAGAAGTTGCTGATGCGGAATGGCCCTGGGCGCCAGTTTCGGATCCGCGGGTCATCCAACAGGCCGCTGAGTGTTGGTTCATGCACGCAGAGGATTACCTCTGCCAGCTGTACGATGTCTACGAGAGGCGTCGTGGGCGAGCAGCTGGGCTGAAGCTCAAGAGGGCACCTCTGGCACAGGAATGGAGCAGGCAGTTCAAAGCCCGTTCATCGCTGGAGTTCAGGAGGATGGCATTTCTCACATCAGCAGCTCGGCGAGCAGCGCAACAGAAGGCATACATGTTGGAGCGAGGCTGGGGAAGGTTCTCCTGCCTCAACAGGCAGCTGCAGGTCGTCGAGGGCTTCCAGATCGAGGACGACTGGTGGCCGTCCACTGGGGCCCTGGCGAAGATGTCCATCGCAAAGGTGGCCATGGCGCTGAGGTCGGGCAGCGCGGCAGCTGCTGGCTACATGCAGGAGGCGCTCGACGACCACCTGCTGCAGCTGCGGCGGCGCGACGCGCAGGCCTACCAGAGCGAGTGGAAGGCGCGGGCATGTGCAGCTGCCCAAGAGAAGGGCGGCAAAGCGGCCTTTGGCTTCATTCGAGCTGGGCATCAGGTTCAACCGTCAGTGTTCGAGGTGCTGGGCGAGGAGCAGGAGCAGCTGATGCCCCTGGGCGGCGACGCGGCCATGGAGAAGCTCACGCAGCAGTGGGGCCCGCTGTGGCAGCACGAGCTACGAGAGGATGAAGCTCACCCATGCCCTTGGCGAGGGGCTGAGTTCGACGTCGACGGGGCGGCCTCGGCTGACGCTGCAGAACCTGAGGGAGGCGGTCGATACATACAGCGACAGGGCAGGATTGGGCTGGGACAAGTTCCATCCCAGGCAGCTGCGGTGGCTTCCACGGAGCTACAAGCCGAGGTTCCTGGATGTGCTGCGCGCGTGGGAAAGGAACCCGATCGACATGCGCCTCTTCCTCATGCTGATATCCTTCCTGCCCAAGCCCCCACCTGGGGGAGGAGTGCGACCGATCGTGCTCAAGTGCCTGTGGCTGCGGCTACGGTGCCGCCTGAGGCAGCCGCTGGTGGCCAAGTGGGAGAGGCAGCTGGAGGGCGACTTCTACTGGGGGGGCCTGGGCAAGACATGCGATAGAGCTGGCTACGTTCACAACCTGCTTGCAGCGCATTGCGCGCAGGTGGACGGCACGGCTTCGGGCACGGCCGCGCTGGACCTTAGCAAGTACTACGAGCACGTTTCGCATGATATTCTTCTGCGCGAGGCGAAGGCGACGAAGTTCCCCCTGGCGCTCTTGAGGGCGCTCTGCTGCGCGTACAAGCTTGGGCGAAGAGCTCAGTGCCAAGGGGCCATCCCGGTGGCGGTGCATGCCAATGGTACGATCGCTGCGGGCTGCAGCTGTGCGCTTGGGCTCGCAAAACTCATGGTTCACACTCTGCTGGTGGAGCAGGCGAGGAGGCATCCTCTGGTGAGAGCGCAGTCGCTGGTGGACGACCAGATGCTGCAAGCACCTGGTACTGCGCGCCTCGCGGGAGAACAGCTGCCCGCTGCTCTTCGATTCGTGGTCGAGGGACTCTCGGAGAGGAAGCTGCAGGTCAACTGGGACAAGACTGGCTGGCTCACGGGCGACGTCGAGCTCGCCAGCATCTTCGCCTCGCCCTGGGAGGGCGAGCCCGAGCGCGCCAGGGGCCTCCGCTGCCTCGGCAGAGATGGCTCGCCTGGAGTGCTGCGCAGTGCTGTTTAGCAAAATCTGCGTCTTGCCAGGGCCCAGAAGTCTGCGGACCGTGTCCATATTTTGAGAGCGGCGGGCGCCAAGGTTGAGAAAGTTGTTCGTTGCTCTCCCACGGCTACGGCCATCTGGGCCTCAGCGGTGACAGGCATTGCTGATGGGAAACTCAGTGGACTCAGGGTGGCTGCTTTGAAGTCTGAAGGTAAGCTCCCCATGGGGGCCACTGTAGAGCTCCGCACTAAGACGATGCATCGGGGGTTCTGGAGGGACCTTCTTCTGATTCACACGGGTGAAGTAGTCAAAGCGTGGATTGTCTGATGGGAGACTTCTCTGCCGTCGGAAGGGGTCTTGGAGGTGGCTCTGGAGGGGGTCGCTCGATTCTCAGGCAGAAGTCTCCGTGGGGCAAGCGAAACAACCCTGCCCAAGCCCTCCTCCTCGCCCTCGCTCATGTTGGAGGCAAGCTGACGGGGCCTGAGGGGGAGGTGGGTTTGAAGTTCTTTTCGCCAGGGCGCGCGGCTGAGGTAGCTAGGCGCATGGCCTCGGCAGCTTCAGACATCCTGGCGCTCAAGAGGCTGGGCCCCTGGGCTTCAGAGCTTCACTGGAGGCCCCTGGACTTGATATTGCACGGCAAGGCCGGTAAAGGCCTTTCTCGGCATGAGCGGAACTTGGTCCGTAGTCTCGTCTCGGGTACCCATTGACCTCAGGCGAGGCTTGCCAAGTATTAAAAATCGGTGTCGGACAAGTGTCTTTTGCGCGGCTGCAGGGGCACGCTTTTCCACCGTGGGTTGGATTGCCCCTGCTCAGCCGAGCTGCGCAGGACTGATCTGCCCGCTAGCCTTCGGCAGGCTGCCTGGCACGTGGCCCGCCTTTGAGAGGATGAGGCCGACATGTTTTCCCGGTGTCTGTTTCCCTCCCCTGAGCGCTGCTTTGGGAAGCCCGAGGCGCCCGAGGAAAATTGGGTTCGCTTTGTCGGGGCGGTGCCTGGATGGCGCTGGAGGGGGGGGGGGGGGGGGGCATATTTGTGGATGATTCAGCGCATCACACGGAGTTTGGAGCCTGCAGAAGGGCAGGTTGGTCAGCCGTCCAAGTAGACAATGGAGGCAATTTCGTTGCCTGCATGTATGGGGCGGTTCCTCGGGGGTGGGGCCCTGACCAGTGGGCGCGGGGCGGGGAAGATTACGCGTTTCATGCTGGCCAGATATAGTGAACCCCCGTGCGTCGGTGATGCAGGGGTGCCTCTGGAAGTTTTCAGCGATTGTGCTAGATCTGCAGCGTGCGCCACCTCCTCGACCACCGCCCTTAGTCCCGACAACTGTCGCCGCCACATGTGGAAGTCGTGGTGGTCCAAAGTTGGAGACTCAGCGAGAGTAGTCAAGGTCAAGGCCCACCGAGCTCTGCAGGAGGCCACGTCTCTGGAAGAATTGTGGATTCTCAAAGGCAACAGGCTGGCCGATAAATGGGCCCGAGCTGGAGCCCAGCTTTGGAGCATTGAAGAGGAGCAGGAGCTTTTTGTTGAGGGCTGCGAGCGCCGCGTGACACAAGCTGCGGAGTGGCTTGGTCGGCTGCACAGCTGGCGGCATGATAAGGGGCTTTGGGACTCGGAGGGGGCGGGTGGGACCGCGGAGGTGGTGCTCGACCTGCCTGGGCGGGTCCCCTCTGAGCTCGTTGATGAATATGACGCGCGGCTGGAGCTGCGCGAGAGGGAGCGCATCTTCGAGGCCGTGCCTGCGCAGCTGTATCCTATGGGGAGTCAGGGCTCGGCTAGCTATGGTTCTGCTGCTCTCGGTTCCTCCGTTGGCTCCTCGGCTGCTTCTCCCGACCTGGTGCCCCGCATATCGGGGCTTGCGCGGGTGAGCTGCCAGACTTGGAAGTTCTTCGGGCACAACGTTGCGCAGGCCCCCGTTGTCGGCGTGGTCTCGGGGGCCCCAGTTTTGTTTTGCATCTCGCGTGGTGCGAGTGTGCAGTTTAGTCACAGGCCTGGGAAAGGCCTAGCAGGACCCTGTTTCGGCCCCAGGCACCCAGGTCTGGCGACCCAGAGGTCGAGGCTTAGGAGAGGCCGCCATCCCAATTCGGCGTTGTCCCCTCCCCCGATGCTCGGAGATTGTGCTGAGCCGTCTGTGGAGGTCCAAGCGTTGTGGGAGGGGAAGCTGTGTGGTTCTCAAGAGGATCCGGAGCGGGAGTGCGACCCTGCCCCAGAGTACGGGTTGGTTTTCCCCGAGGCTCTTGATATGTATCGAGTTGCACAGTTGCATGGATTTAGTGACCCCCGCGAGGCGGTTATGTTTTGCCGTGGTGAGAGGCGTCTCGAAGAAGAGGCTCGGCTCCTGGTGCCCAGGAGTGGTGAGTCTGAAGATCCTGATTACTAAGTAATCGGGTCGCTGGATGCGAGAGACGTTAGTCTAAGGCCCTAACGCCCTAACGCCCTCCTCCTCCTCCTCCTCCAGTCCCTGGGACCGTCAACAAACGACTCGGGGTGAAAATAGCTGGCCTTGGAGAAGGGGTCGAAACCCCCAGGGGCCCAGGTCGTGAACAAAAAAAAAAACATGACGTTGGGGGTTGAGGACGGAGGGCAGCAAAAATCACGACGGGAGGTTTCAGGCCCGTCAAACATGATCCGGGATGGATAGCCGGTCCCCGGGGAAGAGGTCCAGACCGTTTGGGGGTCGCGAAAAAATCACGTCGACGGCCGGAGGTGGTGGCGGCCCTCCTGGCAGGGGCTCACGCCACGGGTCAGTGCTAACGGGGGTCAGCCAATCCCCCCTGGCTGAGCTGGGTTTGGGAGCCACGTGGGGCCGATTCCCCTTTGTCCGCCCTCCGCTGACCCGGGTCTGGGAGCCGCTAAGTGACCGGCCAGGCTGCGCGACAGGGCCCGGGCCGACCTGGGTTGGGCCCGGCTCGCCGCGATCGCCCGTGCAGCAGGCACGTTCCAGGGGCCAAGCATCGAAGACATCGCGCCGAGGGTGCTCAGACAGGCTTGCGTCGCTGAAAAAACACGACGGACGGTTCTGGCAATTTTCGGCTTCGAGGGGCCCTCGCATGGCCCCAGGACCGTCAAGCAATTGTCGAGTATGGAAAAATGTCCCAGGGAGGGGGTCCAGACCTCTGGGGAGCCACGCGAGCGACGCACGCAGAAAAAGTGGGTCGAATGCGCTAACATTCTCGCGTAGGCTGCCCGCGCAAGGTCGCGCGTAAGCGCCCTCGTTTCCAAAGCAGCGTGCCGCGCTGGCGGCCCTCGTAAGCCACCGCGTAAGGTCGCTACGTCATCTCGCGTACCGTCGGGCCGAGGTACAAGATCGAGGTCGGTTCGGGGAGGGTCCTCGAATGTTCGTCGTGCATGTTGGATGCTCTTATGCATCCTGGAGGAGGGTACCCTTGGATGTTCTGCTTGTTTTTGCCGACGGAGGGTCTCATGTCCTCGAGGGGTGCTCGTCTGGCTCAGGTCCGATTGCTAGACCCGCTTAGTTTCGTCGCTCGCGCCCTGAGAAAGCACGACGTCCGACGTATGGGCGGTTCCTCGACTCCAGCCTCGGTGGGCCCGCCTCGGGAGCCCCAGGCCGTCGGGGATCGAGCCGGGGCGGAAGGCGAGCAGACATTTCGGGCGTGGCGTCATGGGGGGCGATACCGTCGGGCCGAGGTACAAGATCGAGGCCGGTTCGGGGAGGGTACTCGAATGTTCTTCGTGCACGTTGGATGCTCTTGTGCATCCCGGAGGAGGGTACCCTTGCATGTTCTGCTTGGTTTCGGCCGACGGAGGGTCTCATGTCCTTGAGGGGTGCTCTTCTGGCCTAGGTCCGATTGTACATGGGAGGGGTGAAGATGGGTGCTCTTTTTGTGCCTTGAAGGGGCCCCCTGAGGCCCAAAAGGGGCACGAAAGGTGCGCGTTCCCCCCCCCCCATTTCAGGGTTCATTCCGATTCGATCGATTCGGTCCGATGCGAGCGAGCCCGATTCGGATTCGATTTCGATTCGATTTGGCGCAAGTGGAAGCCGATTCGATTCCGATTCGATTTCGATGCGAGGGGGTGGGGGGGGGGGGCTACATTACATGGCATGTATGCCCCCCCCATGTTGAGCGGATTGTTTCAGGAGGTCGAAGCTTCGAGGCCTTTAGGTTTGAGGCTCCTGGACGCCTGGGGAGACATCTCGGGGCCTCCCACCCAGGGGGGGGGAGGGGGCTTCTCGTGCGTGGCCACGGCTGGCTCCGCCTCGAAGCTCTGGCCGGGCCAGGCCCCGCGAGGCACGCAGCGACCCCAGGCCCCGCCATCGCTGGCACCTGCTCCGAGGTTCGGGGAACGAGGTCCGAGAACGTGCTCTGAGATCCTGCCGTTGCAATTTGTTCCAGCTGGGCGTTTTCGCATTTTTTTTCGGGGCCCGGCGCCCTCACAGATCGATCTGGCTCGAAAAGTGATGCAGAAAGATGGGGTCTGGGGCTCCGGGCGTGATTTTCTGCGACGTTGCAAATTTTTTGCAACGTCGGATCTCAGGGTGTGTCCACTCCCTGCGAGACTCTGTGTCCACCCCGCGTCTCCATGTTCCAGCGTGCGCCCTTCCCTTTCCCGGCGGGAGGGGTGGGGAGGAGGAGGATCGGGGCTCGAAGATCGAGGTTGTTGGAGGCCGTCTGGGACCTCCAGGGACCTCCCGAAAGGAGGACGACGAGGAGGAGGAGGAGGAGGAGGAGGAGGAGGAGGAGGAGGAGGAGGAGAGGTGGGCAGATCGGAGTCAGTTCAGGAGGGGGAGAGGGAGTGGAAGGGGCAAGGAGAGGGAGGAATCATCCAGGACAATGTCAATCTGCGCCCTGCACTGAGACATGCTGGGGGACATGTTGCGGCCTTGAAGGACCATCCCGGGCGATTGGAAGTATCCTGGGGCTGCTGGGAGCCATCTTGGGGCAATGCTAGGCAGTGTCGTGACCATTGGGAGTCGTGTGTCTCACGCTTGGGATTGATCGGTGTAGAATCGGAGTCTTTGGGGAACGTAATGGGCGATCTTGGGGATGGTGTGTCGGTTCGTCGTTTCAGCAAATGTTCCTTGTTTTCGTTGTCCTTCAGATTCTCAACATGACCCATCAGATTGATTTCGAAGCTGTGCGTCAGCGCCATGCGGTTTTGCATCCATCCAAGTTTGCGGGCTGTTAAGGAAGCGCCCCCTGGCTGAGATCTTTCATCTCCCCCTCCCCTGCAATCTCCGCTTGGCTTCCAGGCGCATCAGCGCCGTCGTCTCGCCCTGCCAGCACGGGAGCAGGACGCTGACGGGCCAAGTAGTCTTGCAGCTCGCGGCAGCAGCCAGGAGGAGCTGGGATGACGTCCGCGTTCCTTGTTCCCGCTCTGCGGTTACAGTGAAATTGGTTCGAGCGTGGGCAGTGCCGTAACGCATGACGGGAAGCACCCTGGATACGAGAACCGTTGTAGTAATGTGTCTACGCTGTTATCTCATGAAGCGCTGTGTGGTGTCGCTCCGCACATGATGGAAGGGCTAGCGCATTACTCAGTGAAAGCAACTTTCGTTGAATAGCATAGTTTAACACGTGCTGTCGAACATCTATTTCCCCCCGGAAATGGGGGCCTCGTGTTGGGGATCGGTCTGAGGAGGCCCCTGGCTGGCCCCAACCAGGGCCCCCAGTGAGCTCCAAGGTGGCCCCGAGAGACGCCTCCGAGGTAGGCCCTAAGAGGGCCCTAGGATGCCCCCCGACGAGCCCGAGGCCTTTTTCGGGAGCCTCGAACTCCAGCATCCGCACGGACTCCGCGCCGCGTCTCGCATGTGTTCGAAACGTGGTCCTGAGGCCCCTCGATCAGGTCCTGGGGACCAGCTCTTCATCCTGAGCCGTCCTTTGCAGCCCTGGGGCCAGAAATCGGCCCCCCAGAGGCCGAACATAACGGAAAAGCGGCCGTCCCCATTTTTTTCGGGGGCGGCCAGGGGGGGGCGGCCGATTGGGGGAGGGGGGGATACCATGGCCGGGGCCATGAGATCTCCTGCGATCTCATGGACCTTTGTGTTGATGCTTTGCGAACCCCTTCTTGGACGCTACCATCTTTGACGCCCCCAGTTTTCTCAGGCCGCCAGATGGGCGACGCCAAAACATGGGGTCGTCTTCACCGACATTGGCGCGTAAGCTGCCCTCGCAAGGTCGCGCGTGCGCGCCCTCGTCTCCAATGTAGCGTGCCGCGCTGGCGGCCCGCGTAAACTGCGGCGTAAGGGCGCTATGTCATCTCGCGTAAGACACGTTTCTTTTCGTCGCTCAGATGTTCGAGTCTGCGGCCCCCTGGGGCCCCGGGACCGCTCCCTGGAAGCCCGCGTGCGCCCACGGCGGCACAACAGCGCACTGGGCCCCTCCCGCCCTGGAGGGCGTCCCCGAGGGGAGCGGAGCGGAGTGGAGTGGAGCGCGGGCGAGAGGAGATGATTGGATGTGTATGTGTGCACCCTCCGTCCACTTTGCTATCTCGCTACCCCGGCCTTCCAGTCCCAGTTGGCTTTTGTCACCCTCCACTTCACCGTAGCCCGTCTATCGACTGTCCCCACCTCTATCCACGCCCGGATGGTTGTGGCGGCCGCCGGTCGCTCCGTGCCCTCAGCGGTCACTGAGGGCTCGGGCGGTTAGACGCGCGCGCACGCATTTGCTGTTTTTCAGTGTTCTACGCCTCGACGCTGCGCGCGGGGCCTCGATGACAAAACAGTGTGTGTACCCTCCATCCCAGACTCCTCGGGCCATAAAAAATCACGACGGAATGCCTGTCGCCACTTTCGGCCTGCGGGAGCCCTTGCCGGCCCTCGGGACCATAAAAACAACAATTCGGGATGAAAAACGGTCTTTGGGAATGTGTCGAGACTTCTGGGGGTCGACGTCATGAAAAATTGCGACGTCGGGGATCTGGGTCACCCCATTCCTCTCCCCATCTGCTGCCCCACCAGCTCAGACGTTGACACTGAAGCTCTTTCTGCCTCAGAGGAGTAACCCTCGATCATCCTCATCCTACGGATCTCGTGTCCGAGACCCCGACGTCATGATTTCTTCATGGTGTGGACCTTTTTTCCTGAGGACAAGCTTTTCATCCTGAGTCGTTTGTTAACGGCCCCGAGGCTCGGCAAGGGCCCCCAGGTGCTCAAATTAACAAAAGTTGTTCGTCGTTTTTTTGTCATGGCCCAAAGGAGTCTGGGGTGGATTGGCGGGGCGCACATGACCAGAGCGGAGTGCACTGAGGCGCAGAGGAGAGGAGCGGAGGTGAGCGCAGACGAGGCCCTCACTGCCAGGAGCCGGCGCCACCAACCGCCGCGAGCTCGGCCAGCCCCGTGTCGCCGCCGCCGGCCCCGCCGGCGTGGCCGGCCGCCGTCGCTGCGATGGAGGCGGCCGCCCTTCGCCGCCACCGCGGCCGCCAGCCCGGTGCCGCGGGGCGCCCTCGCTGCTGCCGCCCTCGCTGCCGCCCGCGCTCTCGCTGCCGCCCAGCCCCCTCCTCGCTGCCGCCCGCCGCCTCGCCGCCGCCTCGCCGCCGCTCTGCTGCTGGCCTCGCCCAGTGGCCTCGCCCGCGGGCCTCGTTCGCTGGCCTCGCCGCCGCTCGGCTGCTTTCCTCGCCGGCGGCCTCCCTGCCGCCCTCGCCGCTGCTGCGGCGGTGGAGGCCGCCAGCCTCGCCGCCACCGCCTGCCGCTGCTGTGCCGTCTCAGTGCCGCTGGCCGCCGCGCTTTTGCGGCATTGGCCCTCCGCCTCTTCCGTAGCCATTTTGGCTCAAGATGATCTCGCCCCGTGGCAGAGCACGGAGACCGTTGGTCCAGGGACAGCGTCGGACCTGCTTTCACGCCTTCCTTGCGCCCGCGAGGTTGAGCTTCATATTCTTTGCCACTGCATTCGCCTGCAGTTGGCCCACATATCATTTCTCATGGGATCGGTTGGTGACGCTGCAGGAACGGAGCCCACGGCCAGTGACAAGCGAGGAGCGGGATCAGATCCATTGGCTGCCAGCGCTGCCAAGCTACCTGACCACGATCTGCCAGCACACATCCGCAAGCACCTCGAGGAGGCGTTGGACAAGCAAGTGCAGGAAGCAGCGGCGAAGTTCGAGGCCACGGCCAAGGCAGTCACGGCAGCAGCAAGCAAAGAATTCCTCGAGACAGTCACCACCATTATGTCGGACCTCAGCAAGCGCCACGAGGCCCCCGAGCGGTCCATCACAGCCGTCACCGCACGCACGACCTTCCTGGAGTCCGCGAACCTTGAGCTGAAGACATCAGTCGCCAAGCTGGAGATTCCTGTGTCTCAAGCTGAAGCCCGAGCTCCCGCCCTCAACCTCGACGCCTTGGGGACATGGAACAGAGACCCTGACCCGACAGTCTTCTGGTGAAGCAGCCCACAGGATTTCAACCAGCCCGAGCTGAAGCGAGCGCTTCGGACCTGGTTCGACGCCGCCAACATCGAGTCAGCTCACGTCATACACAACACGGTCGGCCCTGCCAAGCACCACTCCTTCCAGCTCAGTGGAGGCGCTCTGGTGGCGGAACTTCGCGCGCAGCGTCTCCACTCTGCGCTACGCCTTGGACAAGATTGGAGGACGTTCTCTGTGGCTACTGGCTCTGGCGGACCTGTTCCTCTCTACGTATCGGCGGACAAGAGCCCAAAGATGGTCAGGCAAGAAGTCCAAGCAAAGCGCTTCGCCAAGATCATGTAGAACAATAAGCCACTGCTGGATCTCCGAGTTCAGCGGATCCTCGGCTACGTGGCAAACAATGGGGAAGCTCTTGTTCGCTTGCACGTTGGCGCTACTCCTGATGCTCCCACCAAGCTGCAGTGGTCCGCAGCTGGCGCCAACCGCGGCTTCGACGAGGCCCTTCAGCAGGCAATCAACACCGAGTTTGCCACCAACTTCGCGGACGCCCTTAGAGCAGCGCAGTGGTTTTAGCAATCGCTGGAGCCTGTGGCTCCTGGAACCCTCGCAGGAAGGGCTGAACACTGCCTTAAAGCTCTATTTGGACGTTCTGATCAACGACGTGATGACAAACGCCGGCTCCTACTACCTTACCTTCGCCAACATGCGCTACTGGCAGCACGGGAAACCCACGGCACCTTCGACGATATGCAGCTCCTCGCCAGCTCGACGCAGCACTCGTACAAGCCCTACCTCCCGGCCGTCCACGTGGACAACATTCCCGTCACCAACGCGGACGGCGTTGGCTTCCTTGTCCCGTTCGACAAGCGCGAGCTCCAGCCACCGCCAGAACAACGGCCTCAGCACAGGTTCTAGTTCGTCATCCATGGCTGCGCCGCCTGGCTGCGCGTCCTGGATGCCAGCCTCCAGGTTGACGCCACCGTGCTGAACATCCACAATCGTGGGCTATCGCAATCTGATCGCCTACGCCTGCAAGCTGCTTGGCAGACCCTACGTGGACATGCACATGCACTACCCCAGCAGCGGCTGTTCACGATCGCGGGCGACTTCAACATATTTGAGTTCCCGCCAAAGTCCATAAACTCACCCGTGGACTCGGACACGACGGCGGCGTAGCACTACCAGTACCAGCCGACATTCTGGCGCAACTTGTTTCGCGGCGTCGTCGAGATCGCCGCGGCGTCGACCACGCACGGGTCCGAGGCTAAGATGAGCGAGTCCACGATCGACCGTTGCTTCATCAATGCGCCCAACCACTTGATGCCGCTGATGGAAGTTCTGCACATCGTTGACGACGCGCCGCTCGAGAACAAGCCGGGCCCCATCAGCGACCACAAGATCATGCATCTCCGCATCCGCCTGAGAAAGCCGAAGCCCAAGCGCGAAAGCGGTACCCCAGCGTTTCTCTTTGACCTCGAGCACTACCAGCACCACATCAAGCAAATCCTCTTGGACTGGACGCAGCTGAACCCAATCACCAAGTGGAGGATGTTGAAGGCGGCCGTGCGCTCAGCCGCTGCCAAGACCCGCGGCACGCTGACCAAGATCCTTGCCGATGAGTGGACATCTCAGTCCGTCGCGATTGCTAAAGAAACGAGGGCTCCGACGCTCCGCAGCATCGCCAGAGCCGTCTGGTTCCAGGACACCTCCCTCGCTACGCTGCTGATGGGTAATACCGATGTGGGCAAGCACCACCTCAGCGCTGCCGACTGCAAGGTCAGCATCAGCAACATGACCGACTTCACCTCGGCCACAGACGCAGTGAAGAAAGGAAGGCGAGAGCCTCGGCACGTTCGCGAGCCGCACGTGCCGCCAACAACGCAGCCCTTGGCTAGAAGCGGTGCCAGCGCGCCAAGCGTGAAGGGCAGCGCCGTGAACTCTGGAAGCCCTTCTTCAAACGCATGGTGCTCGCGGGGATCAAGATCGCGACCAGCTCCCAGTACAACGTCGCCACCGACCCCGCTTCGACGCACCAGGCCATCACGCAGCATTGGGGCCCTGCGTTAGCCGAGAAGCGCATGGACACCAGCCAGCTGACCGAGTACCTGGACCCCGTCTCCCCTCAGCAGTCGCTGGTGGACCTCGACCCACCAGGAGCCGAGGCGCTCGAAAAGGCTCTCGCCTCAGCGCCGCGCACATTCGTTTTTTTTTTTTGAAATTGCAAGAGCTGCACGGACTGAGGGCGGGTAGTTTTCAAAATGTGGTTCTCGCCTTAGCGCCGCGCACACTCGGTCTAAAAAGTTGCAAGAGCTTCACGGATTGAGGGCGGTCGGTTTCAAAATGCGGTTATCGCGTTAGCGCCGCGCGCATTCGTTTTAACAAATTGCAAGAGTTGCACGGATTGAGGGCAGTTATTTTTCAGAACGTGGTCCTCGCCTTAGCGCAGCGCACATTCGTCTTAACAAGTTGCAAGAGTTCCATGGGTTGGCATCATACACGTACCAAAAATGGCATGTTGGAAGGACTCAAAATTACGAGGGTGCAACAGTTACGTGGGCTCGCGGTGTTGAAGTCCCGGGAATGGCGTTCCGGCACGGTTCAAGATCGTCAAGACGCAACATTCAAGTTGATCCGTGGCGTTGGAATCCCAGGAACAATGTTTTGGAATGCTTCGGGCTCTTCAAACGGTTGTCTTCCAACGAGGCAACGGCAGTTCCTTCAGTGGAAATGAGCCGTTGTATGGGGCCTGTGAAGAGGGAGCTTGGAGGGATAGTTTTTCCAACATCGTTGATGACTCTGGGATTGACAGCGGTCCCCCCCCCTCCTCCTCCTCCTCCTCCTCCTCCTCATCTTCCTCCTGCTCCTCCTCCTCCTCATCATCATCATCTTCATCATCCTCATCATCCTCATCCTCCTCCTCCTCCTCCTCCCCCTTACTCTCCTCATCCTCCTCCTCATCCTCCTCCTCTCCCTCATCCTCGCCCTCCACATCCTCCTCGCTCCGCTCCCTCCCCTCCCAGAGGCCACGGCGGCCAACGACGCTGCCTTCGCCGCCGCAGCGTTGGTGGGCGAGCTGCGGGAGACGGGGCTCGCGTGCTCTTCCCTACCATCGGAGTCCAGGAGGTAGGAGCAGCAGCAGGAAGCTGGAGGGGCAGGAGGAGAGGGAGAGGGTGGAGGTCGAGGAGGAGGAGAGGAAGAAGGTCGAGTTGGATAAGGAAGATAAGAATGAGGAGGAGGAGGAGGAGGAGGAGGAGGGAGGAGGGGAGGAGGAGAAGGAGGAGGAGGAGGAGGAGAAGGAGGAGGAGGAGGAGGAAGATGAGGAGGAGGAGAAGGAGGAGGAGAAGGAAGGAGGATCGATACATTTGGACGTAAATAGCTCTTGGGCCCCTAAGAGCGGCCGCCATGTCGAGCGGGGGTGCCTCCTTGGGACAGGTGTCACGCGCTGGCGGGCCTGTGCCGGGCAACAGCGGCGCTGCGCCAGCTTCCACCCGCACACGTACACACGCACACACGCACACACCCACACACACGCGCGCGCACACACACACATATTTCCTCCAGCGGCGAGATGGCGGCACCGTCGCGAGCACTAAGCCGGGACACGAATTGCCGAACTCCAAGTGGCGTATCAGGTGTGTGGATTGGACGCGGCAGTCTCGTTGCTCGCGGCGTTGCCCATCGCACACACACACACACACACAAACAAACACAAACAAACAACAAATGTGAACGATCAGATTACGATCGGGAATTTTCGTTTAGCGTGTCGCGCCGACTGTTCTGGCGCACCGCGCTTCGGCGCGACACGCTGATCATTTCCCAGTCTTCAAGCATCAACTCCCCAAGTTTGTTCGAGCCTCCCGCCCCGCGGAGCGGAGCGACACGCTGTCCGATCGCAAGGCACAGCGTGTCGCCAGGGCCGCCACGGCACGCTAAGAAAAAGTTCTCGACGTCAGACGCGTGCCAGCGATCAGATTAGGCACATTCGCAGTGCAAGGCGGAACAAGAAGGAAGACAGTTGGACAAGTCAGGCCAGCAAGTGATCAATCGGGACGAGCCCCTCTAACATAGTGCCCTTGCCCTCTGAGCGCGAGGGATGTTCGCCCTCCCGCACTCTACTGAGGTTAGCCTTGAGGTGGTCACTGGTGGGCCCACCTCGGCACTGGTCAGCAAGCTTGCCAAGCCTCCACGACTCTGCCATGCATATGCAAAGCACGCGTATTCGAAGACTCGAGAACGGCACAAACATGAGCTGTCGGGGGCCCGGCGCTGATCCAAGAAGTCCGCGCGGACATCCAAAGTTCGTTTCCGGTTCCATGCCATGTGTTGATTCCTCTACACCGACGGACACTCCCGTGCAGGGCATTGTGAGTCACGAGCAAGTGGCGGGAGCGCTGGTCCACCAGCAGCGCACGGAGCTCGGGGTGAGCCTGCCCGCACACCGGCGGGCATCGCAGAGAGGCTGCGCCTCGGGCGGACCCAACAGGCACCACCCGGCCCACCCAGAGTGCCTCCACACCCGGCGCTGGCCTCCCACGGTGTGGCCAGCGGGCACAGCAGGGTCGACCTCGCGAGGGGAGGCGGAGGGGCACGACCTTGCAGCCGCTCCCCTTCCCTCCCAGCCAGCTGCTGCACCAACCCGGCCACGGCCTATAGCCGCGCCTCCCCTGACCAGCGGTTCACTCGGCCGAGGCGGGACCAGGGTGGCCCAGCGCTGCAGGGCTTTACTCGCGGGCGCTGGGCCAACGCTGCACACTCACGAGAATATTCATCGAGCTCAGCAGCCGAGGGGCGCGAGTGCGAAAGCGTCGCCGACCTGGCCAACAAATTGGCCCAATGATTGCCCTTTGTCTGGTACCACCTCTCCCCATAGGGAGTTATATCATCTAACATGTGTACATCGATATATATATATATATATATATATATATACACATGTAATATGTAATATGTATATATATACACATACCGCTGTGGCCTTTTTTACCTAACAGCGAAGACTGATAGGTTTCTAGTGGTGTCAAAAGAGAGCAGCAGATGACTCCACAGGGGGGTCCGGGCAGGACCCAGGGCGGCTGCCGTCGAAGCCCAAATCGCCTGGGACATCCTCGCAAAATCGCTCTTGGCGCTGCTAGAACTCCATTCCCGGCGTACATTTCGGATGCCCGGAGCCAACAGTAGGCCACTTCGTGGTCTTCGAGTTCTCAGAAGTCCTTTCCCTGCGTACATTTTGGATGCCCGGAGCCAACTGTAGGCCACTTCGTGGTCTTCGAGTTCCCAGAACTCCATTCCCGGGCCACATTTTGGGTGCCCGGAGCCAACTGTAGGCCACTTCGTGGTCTTCGATTTCCCAGAACTCCATTCCCGGGCCACATTTTGAATGCCCGGAGCCAACTGTAGGCCACTTCGTGCTCTTCGACTTCCCAGAATTCCACTCCCGGACCACATTTTGAATGCCCGGAGGCTGAGGCACTGAGGCTGAGGCTGACGCTGAGGCTGAGGCAGGCTGAGGCTGAGGCTGAGGCAGGCTGAGGCAGAGGCAGAGGCTGAGGCTGAGGCAGGCTGAGGCTGAGGCAGGCTGAGGCTGAGGCCGAGGCTGAAGGCAGACTGAGGCTGAGGCAGACGCTGAGGCAGGCTGAGGCTGAGGCTGAGGCTGAGGCTGAGGCTGATGCAGGCTGAGGCTGAGGCAGGCTGAGGCTGAGGCTGAGGCTGAGGCTGAAGGCAGGCTGAGTCTGAGGCTGAGGCAGGCTGAGGCTGAGGCTGAGGCAGGCTGATGCTGAGGCAGCCTGAGGCTGAGGCTGAGACTGAGGCTGAGGCTGAGGCAGACGCCGAGGCAGGCTGAGGCAGACGCTGAGGCTGATGCAGGATGAGGCTGAGAGTGAGGCAGGCTGATACTCAGGCAGGCTGAGGCTGAGGCTGAGGCTGTGATTGCGAATGCCGTTGCCACTGCGACTGTCATCGCGAATGCGACTGCGACTGTGAGAACAGCAGAATTCTACAACTGGATTCTGATCTGAATCTTAAGGAGAATGCTTCCAGATATGCTTCTACACATCGCTGTTAGGTTGCTTTGCCGGGATAATTCAGTTTAGAGACGGGCAGCTGATTACGCGGCCTGGGGAGGGCACCAACTCCAAGAAGCTCAGCACCAGCATAGTGATTATCATGAAAGAAACAGACGCGCAGACACGAATAATCGTCGATTCCTACGAAAACATGGGGAAAACATGGAAGTGGAGGGGAAGACGAACAACCAGAAAATATAGAAAACATGAAGATTCCTCGCATTTGCGTCTATTTATGTGTGTGTCCCCAGGCCCCTGCAAATTAAGATATTCGAAGTGAGACTCCCTGCCTTATCAGTGGTGACCACACGACCTCAAATCCAGTACCGAGAGCACGGTGCATGTCTACATGCAGTTAGGAAATCGTATGTTCCATCGCAGGGGACAGCCTGAGTTGGAGGCCGACCAATTTTCCCAGAAATAGACACGTACACTTCACCGCGAGCCGCGGTGCAGGCACATGCCGAATCCCGCGTTTTTGAGGGACCCACCCGAGAACAGGTTCGTCCCTCTGAATGCTGGGATGACAGGAACATCCGGATCGGCAAAGGAGAACTCATACAGGCCATGGCGCAATCCATCAGGAGGAGAGCAAACGGATTCTGGCTCAAGTTGGGAGCCAAGCATCTGTGCACATGTGTTGATACCGTGGGCAGCGATGTCCTTAATGTCCTCTACAAAAATCATGTCGGAGCGCGTGCGTGGCGGGTCAGACGAACAGACAGCCAGTGGTTCAAATTGCCAGATACAGCACCACAGAGCGGGCCGAATGATTCAGGAACCGTATACTACATTTGCATAAGACGCCACTTGATTTAGACGTATTGCAGAAGGAAAGTGTTCAATATGTTCTTCTTTGTCCGATAAAAGCCCTCAGAGGTCGGAGAGTTCTTAGTCGTCCTCTCAGAGAACTGTTTCACCGAAGCAGCTTTCAAGTCAGACAACACTTTGGCGGGGCAAGTGTTGGTGAGGTGGATTCCGTCCCCCACGATATAAACCCAGACGCAAGCAGATTTGCAAGACCACGAGACACGTGCCATGGACAACACATCCACCCAGGGGTCCTTTGGCATGGCTCCAGATCTTGAGCCCTTGATAGCACCAGCTCGGCAAACTCACGCAGCACCGCAAGAGATGGTTCAAAGTCTCTGGAAGTAGTAGCTTTCATAAGAAATTGTCCCATGCCGACGCAGGGTCCAGGGCCAACTTGTGAGAGAGATCCGCATGGAACAGAAAGGTGAGGGTCTTGGAGCGGGAGAGCCAGGTCGATCCAATTGTTTCCAAAAAGACGGATTGGGCAGCATGCACTTCCCGCCCATCAAATGCAATCACATCCACCCCATAATGACCATAACGCTGTAGCCCACTGACGTAGGGGTCGCTGCATGTCGACGCCGTCCTTCTTCGCCGCAGCAAGGCGCCTCCTCTGCGTTCGAGGGTTCTTGATCTCAGCAGTGAGGTTGGGGCGGGCCCTCTTGCGACAACGAAGCTGACCAGCTGCACAATCGATCCCAAGTTTTCTAGCAGAGCGCAGGTTCGACGTGCTTGCGAACTTCATCACTGCCTTCTCTAGAGCTTTCCGAAGGGAATCAGGGCTGGCCAGTATGGCCAGATTCTTGGGTGCAAGCTGGCAGCACAGGTCTCCCTCGATCATCCGAATCACTTCCGCGGAACTCGTCACAGTTCTGTCGATCAAGACCGTCAGCCAGTCATGGATGAAAAGGCACAGGCCTGCCAAGCTACGGTTCTCCGCAAAGGCGTGCACAAGGTCATGCGAATAAAGATGGGCCAAGAAAATTGTCCCCTGGCCCACACATACACACTTTGCAATAATTTGGGTAGTTTTCTTTGGAACTCACATCATCCTGACCCCAGGCGCGCGAGAAAGTTGCCTCGCAGCGCGCCCCCATGCAGGGACAATTTCAAGCGATGCGCTGGGCGTGCTGGGCGCGCTGGGCGTGTCCCCATCCGGCGCCCTCGCTCGAGACACCCTCGCAAAATCGCCCCAAGGGCCCCCAGCGCACCCCCAGAGAACATTTCCGGCGATGCGCCGGGCGCACCAGGCGAGGACGAGGACGAAACCGAGGATTAGCACGAGGGCGAGCGCGAGGAGAAGCATGATGAGCAGGGAGGAAGCTGCAGGAGGACGGAAGAGGGAGGAGGGAGGCGGGAGGAGAGAGGAGAGAGGAGGATGAGAGAGCGAGGAGGAGGTGGAGGAGGAGGAGGACGGATGACCTCCAGGGACCTCAAGTTCGTGAGCCTCGCGCTCCTGATCCTCGCCCTCCTGATCTTCACCCGCCGCACCACCGCCGCCCGCTCATTCTCACCATCGTCGTCGAGCACAGGCGCACGCCCCTTCTTCTTTGCACATAAACTCCCGATCAACCGCAGAACGGCTGGCTAGTATTTTGGCCTGGAACCGAGATGTTGGGGCATAACCGTTCATGGTGAACAGAAAGCGTTGCGAAGTATATACGTTGCAAGCCACCATGAGGCACATCATGTTGAAACCAGTGGCCTGCGCTCTCTCACAAAGTAGCATCAAGTATTCTGCGCCCATGGCCTCACCTGGAGCGTAATGGGATGTTCGGTCGAGGAGTAGAAGTAGGAGGATGCCCAGAGTCAACCCAAGATGCATCAACGATGCTGCAGTACACCCTCCCGTCCCAAGACACCTCACACAGTCGGGCCGCGGAAGAAGCAATTGTTTTCGTCGGGGAGGGGCTCAGTGTTCCTTACTTGTTTGCTAGTTTGTCTCAGTTTGTCCTTCGGTTTTCTATGGAATCAAGGGGGCCCCGTTCCTGAGTTAGGGTTCCTTATGACAGCGGCCCGGCTGTAAGCCCCCTGCACGTATTTTCTTTTCTACGGCGGGGACACGCACCCCAGGCCTTGACAGACGAACACCCCCGTCGGGGCCTGCCATGCAGGCGAGGCCATTTTTTTGAAACATCCTGCAGGCGAGGCCATTTTCTTCCTCCTCCTCCTCCCCTCCGGCCTCCTCCTCCTCCTCCTCCTCCTCCTCCTCCTTCTCTTCCTCCACCTCCTCCTCTTCCTCTTCCTCTCCTCCTCCTCCTCCTCCTCCTCCTCCCTCCTCCTCTCTTCCTCTTCTCCTCTCCTCCTCCTCCTCCTCCTCCCTTCTCCTCCTTCTCCTCCTCCTCCTCTTCCTCCTCCTTCTCCTCCTTCTCCTTCCCTCCTTCTCCTTCTCCTCCTCCTCATTCACTCCTTCCCTCCTTCCCTCCTCCTCCTCCTCCTCCTCCTCTAGCAAATGGAAGCGCGAGGAGGTAGAATAAATTAGGCCTCCATCCGTCGAAGCATCGCCAAGCATTTTTATGCGAAAGCCCACATGAAAAAATAAGCCGCCATCCATCCACGTGATTATTGTACAATGCTGAATGCCACTCTTTCAACGAGGTCTGCAACAGGAGTCGCATTTCGAAGAGCTGCCCTGCACCCGTGTAAGTGTTGGACGCCTGAAGACGGATGTCCGCGGCGCCAAAGCGAGAGCGGCAGTTTGGAGACGTAGCGCCCTCCTTCCGCGTAATTGTTTGACGCTGTCTAGGACGAGTGTGCGCGGCGCCGACGCGAGATGTCTATCCGTACAGTTGTTGGGGATCTCGAGCGTCGGCAACTGCGAGGAAGTCTGAGGCGAGACGCCCGGCCCGCCTTCACGACACACCTGATGCTGCGACAGGGAGCAGCGATTTTTTAGGAAGAGACATGGATGACGAAGAAAAGGAGGAGGAGGAGCAGGAGGAGGAGGAGGAGGCGGAGGAGGAGGAGGAGGAGGGGGAGGCGGAGGAGGCGGAGGAAGGAGGAGGAGGAGGAGGGGGCGCCGGGGACGACGACGACGGAGAACCAATTAGCCTGACGAAGTGCCCAACCATATGGAGCTACGAGCACCGCAAAGGAGAGGATGTGAAGGAGAGGGGCGATCAAACTACGGGTCGCTTACGATATTGCCCCTCCTTCCAGGCAGCGCAGTAGATGTGGATGCAACTCGAGCCGTGCTGGCGCTGCCAGTGGGACCTGCTGTGGAGCCCCCCGTGCGGCCACGAAACGTGTGAGGGGTGCGCAAGAAAGGGGCGAGTCCGTCACGCGGGCGCTGCCACTGGGGCCATCGGTGGAGCTCCTTTTGGGGCCACGAAACGTGCGAGTAGTGTACTAAACTGGGCCCGAGTCCGCATGCGTGCGCTGCCACTGGGGCCTTCGGTGGAGCTCTCCCTATGGGGGCCCCAAACAAGAGAGGGGTGTGCCGAAATCGGCCCGATTCCGTATGCCAGCGCTGCCATTGGGGCCTTTGGCGGAGCTCCGTACGGGGCCACGAAAAGCGTGAGGGGTGTTCGCATGCGGGTGTTCCCATTGGGGCTTTCGGTGGAGCTTCCTATGTGGCCACGGCCCATGTGAGGGGTGTTCCAAAATGGGCGTCGGGCGCATGCGGCCCGTGCCGCATGCAGCCCGCGCCGCATGTGCCCGTGAGAAGTATACCAAGGTGGGCCCGAGTCAGCATGCCAGCGTTGAACTTGCGACCATTGATGGAGCTCCCTATGGGGCTACGAAACGTGTAAGGGTATGCCAACATGGGCACGAGTCCGCAAGCGGGCGTTGCCATTGGGGCCTTCTGTGGAGCTCCCTTTGTGGCCACGAAACGGTTGAGGGGTGTGCCCAAATGGACCCGAGTCAGCATGCGGGCGTTGCCATTCAGGCGTTCGGTGGAGCGCCATGTGGGGCCACGAAACGTGTGAGGGGTGTGCCCAAATGGACCCGAGTCAGCATGCGGGCGTTGCCACTCAGGCTTTCGGTGGAGCCACATGTGGGGCCACGAAACGAGTAAGGGGTGTGCCAACATGGACCCGAGCCCGCATGCTGGCATTGCCATTAGGGCCGTCAGTGGAACCCATGTGTGGTTGTTGTGGTGATGATGCGGCTGCTGCTGCTGCTGCTGCTGATGATGATGATGATGAGGATGATGATGCTGATGATGATGATGATGATGATGATGATGATGATGATGATGATGATGATGGTGACGATGAGGAGGAGAGGAGGAGGAGGAGGAGGAGGAGGAGGAGGAGGAGGAGGATGGTGCTGGTGCTGGTGTTGATGCTGATGATGATGTGCGGATGATGTTGATGATGTTTATGTTGATGGTGATAAAATTGATGAAGACGAGGATGATGATGATGATGATGCTGATGATGATGATGATGATGGTGGCGATGGCGATGAAGAAAGAGGAGGGGGAGGAGGAGGAGGAGGAAGAGGAGGAGGAGGAGGAGGAGGAGGAGGAGGAGGAAGATGGGAGGAGGAGGAGGAGGAGGACGCGGGGCGCTGCGGATTCAAAACGAGGTCGCAATACCACAGGACGGTTGGGATGTTTGAAATGAATTTCAAAAGTCTTGACGAAGGACCCAGACATGCGCAGATGTGAATACCGCGTTGTGGGTGCCGCTTTCGGCGGAGCTCCCTGTGAGGTCACGAACCGTGTGAGGAGTGTGCCAAAATAAGCGTCGGGCGCATGCGGCCTGTGCCACTGGTGCTTTCGGCCGTGTGAGGAGTGTGCCAAAATGAGCGTCGGGCGCATGCGGCCAGTGCCACTGGTGCTTTCGGTGGAGCTCCCTATGGGGCCGCGAACCGTGTGAGGGGTGTGCCAACATGGGCGGCGGGCGCATGCGGCTTGCGCCACTGGGGCTTTCGGTGGAGCTCCCGATGGGCCAACGAACCGAGTGAGGGGTGTGCCAAAATGGGGGCGTCGGGCGCATGCGGCCTGTGCCACTCGGGCCTTCGGAAGAGCTCCCTATGGGGCAACGAACCGTGTGAGGGGTCTGCCAAAATGAGCGTCTGGCGCATGCGCTCTGTGCCCCTGGGGCTTGCGGTGGAGCCCCCTATGGGGCCGCGAACCGTGTGAGGGGTGTGCCAAAGTGGGCTTCGGCCGCTTGCGGCCTGTGCCACTGAAGCTTTCTGTAAAGCTCCCTATGGGGTCACGAACCGTGTGAGGGTGGGCCAAACTGGGCGTCGGGCGCATGCGGTCTGCGCCACTGGGGCCTTCGGTGGAGCTCCTATGGCGCCCCGAACCGAGTGATGGGTGTGCCAAAATAGGTGCGTCGGCCGCATGCAGCCTGTGCCACTGGTGCTTTCGGCGGAGCTCCCTATCAGGCCACGAACCGTGTGAGGGGGGTGTTCGAAAATGGGCGTCGGGCGCATGCGGCCTGTGCCACTGGGGCCTTCGGAAGAGCTCCATATGGGGCCACGAACCGTGTGATGGGTGTGCCAAAATGGACTTCGGGCGCATGCGGCTTGCGCCAGTGGGGCTTTCGGTGGAGCTCCCTATGGGCCAACGAACCGTGTGAGGGGTGTGCCAAAATGGGGGCGTCTGGCGCATGCGCCCTGTGCCACTGGGGCCTTCGGTGGAGCTCCCTATAAAGCCACGGGTTTCGTGGGGTGTGTGCAGAAATGGTGGACCTGCGGAGAGCAGAGGCAAGGAATGGGAGGAGGGAAGGAGGAGGAGAGGAGGAGGAAGTCAGGAACGCGGGGCGCTGTCTCTTCAAAACGAGGGCCCAGCACCACAGAGTGGTTGGGAAAAAAGCCTGCCACCCCGGGCCCCTCCCGCAGGAGTCCCTGGCGGAGGCGAGGGCGCAGAGCAAGGCGCTTGCCCAGCCGCCGACGACGATGACATCTGTCTCCTCCTCCCTCGTCGTGGTCCTCCTCCTTCCTCCTCGGCCTCCCTACCTCCCGCCTCCTCCTCCACCACAAATACCCATGTTATGACTACTGATATTCTCTATTCTCTGACCCCGTTCGGAAGATAGCCGGTTCTCTCCGCGTGCTGTCGTTTACACACAGAGTTGGACAAAGGTGGTATTTCCGATGGTTTGTTTTACAATTTTATTGGTTTCGTTGTTTCCAAATGGTGTCCCCGTTGCAGCATGGGCCTTATGATCGGATCGGCGTTTTGCTCCCGTCGTTCAGACTGGCGCTTTCGCCCCAGCGTTCCTCTTTTCTGGATCGAGTACTTTTTCATCATTGTCGCCCCTCTCATTTCCCCCCGCCGCCTTCCCCTGGTCCTCCTGCCCCTTCCGCTACTTCCAGTTCCTGCTGCTGCTGTTCGTCTTCGTCCTCCTCCTTCCACATCCTCCTTTTCCTCGTGCTCATTGTCCTGCTCACCCGCCGCCTCCTGCTCCTCCTCCTCCTCCTCTTCCTCCTCCTCCTCCTCCATCTTATCCTCCTCCTCCTCCTCCGCCTCCTCCTTCTCTTCCTCTCCTCCTCCTCCTCCTCCTCCTCCTCCTCCTCCTCCTCCTCCCCTCGTCCCCCTCTTCTCCTATGTATGCAGCCCTGTTTCCGATCGCGCGTAACAGGACGAGTCTTTGTGTTGGGTGTCCAGGTCGGTTTTGACACGCGTCCATGAACGAAAAAAACAAAACAATGGGGAAGGGATGGGAGAGAGGGATAGGATATCAGACGTGGCGCCAGCGCACCAGGCTTCCTTCTCCCCCCTCCTCCTCTCCCCTCCCCCTCCCACGGTGGCCCGATGCAGCGCCGCCCGACCCACCTTCACACACACACAACGCAGTGACATGTTTAGTTTACCGAACGTTACGCTTTGGGCCGTTCGGTCACGAATTGCCAGCGTGGCCATCTTCTGTATGTTGCGTCTGCTTCATTGGAACCCTCTCAGCTTGAGTCAGCCTGACCGACTTGAGGAAATCGTCACCGAGACAGCAAAGACATTTCACGTGTGCGTTTTCGTTGGCACGCAGGTTCGAGCAAAGTTCCACGGCCAGGTAGAGAAGAAGCGGATTGATAAGACACTAGTTCTTGAAGCGGGCTGGTGCGCAGGGGCTCACACTAACAAGAGTGCGGGCATCACTATCTCGCTCAGTTGCGGCCTCCGGGAGTCGCACATTGTCCGCCAGTGGGTCCCAGGTGCTGAGCTCGGAGGCAGAGGCTTTGGAGTTTGTGTCAAACGCAAGGGGCAAGACTTAGCAATTCTGGGGCTGTATTTTCCGCCACGACCACGGGGAGTAAAAGGGATACCTAACTACTTCGCGACCGTGTCTAGGCTGACCACGTGGTTGAGAAAGGTCTTCGCGGACCTGGCCAGCAGCTCCAGAACGATGCCTCTGTCTGCATGGACCTGAATGACGGCATAGGGATTGTCAAGGAAGATCAAAATTGGGTCTATAGCGGGACCACAGTTGTCTCGGAGGAGCTCTCGACCAGGGAGAATCTGTCTGGGGGCGCTGGGCACTTGGTGAGGGAGGTGATGGAGGAGTACGGCATGGTGCTTCTTGGGCTTCGGAGTCACGTCGAACCTACATGGTTTGGACAGAGAAACAGCTGCAGCAGAGTTGATTATATATTCGGGCCCGCGGGTGCTCAACGTCTGGTCCATTCGGGAGGGCCTCTGCTGGGGCTCATGCGTAGACATCAACTCATCCCATCTCGGCACCTCCGAGATCATGCGCCCCTGCACTGCAACCTCAACAGGACCCACGTGGACCCCCAAGAGCTCTCCCCATATAGAATCTTCTGGAATTTCGATGCCATGGGGTTGGCAGAGGCGCGCCGCACATTTCTCGCCAAGGCTGCCGTGCTGGTTGAGCAGAATATGGACGTGCTCACAGACGCTCTCACCAGCGGGCAGCCGAACCGCTACTTTAAGTACTTGACAGATGTATTTCAGTCTGCTGGGCGCGAAGTCTTCGGTGGCTCGACTGCTGGGGCTTCCCCATCCTATCAGCCGCATGCAGCGCAGCGCCGAGAGCTTTTGCGCCAGCGCCTTCAGGTTCGCTCTAGGTTCAGGGAGGCTGGGAACGAGGAGGAGGAAGAGAGGATCAAGAAGGAGCTGAAGGAGCTTAGCAAGCACTGTGCAAAAATCCGCAAGCAGCACATGGTGGAGTGGAGGGAGCAGGCGACGGAGGAGTTGGAGGAGGCGTGGAGAATCAGGAACCTGAAGGAGGCACATCGTCTGATTCGACTTCTCGCGGCAAGAGGTCGTGCCCCCCCGGGGGCGTTTTTTTTTTTTTTTTTTTTTTTTTTTTTTTTTTTTTTTTTTTTTTTTTTTTTTTTTTTTTTTTTTTTTTTTTTTTTTTTTTTTTTTTTTATAAAAAAAAATTATATATTATATATTATATATATGTATGTATATATATATATAAAATATATACATACACATATATATGTATATATATATATCGACACCTACAGGGCGCTGCTCTCACTTCCGAGGAGTGGATGTCGGTCTGGGGGTTGGAGGGGCCACAAGGTGGAATGGAGGCGGTGGAAGTTACTACTGAGGAGGACGAGGAGACGGAGGAGGTAAAGCAGGGTTCACACTCAATATTCTCAGTGGAAGCACTTACAGACATGCTCTCGATTGCGAAGTAGTTACGCCGAGCGCCCGAGAGGCGTTCCTGTCCACCCTGGACTGTCCCCGCTGATGTGTGGGGCATGGCTATTCATCCAGATTTTAGTCTCCGCCCCGATCGTTTAGGGGTCGGCGCAGAGCGCGAGCTAGATGCTACTGTTGTTTACGATGCTCTGCTCAAAGGACTTGAATGTATCAGATTTGCAGGCAGGTTCCCTAAGATGTGGAATAGGTCGTTCGGCTGTGCGCCACCCAAGTCCTCGGTCCCAGGCCCCAAAGGTAAACGGGCCATACACTTGCTGGATCTTTTGGGCAAGGCCTGGCTGGCGGGGACTATTGATCGGAAATATCCTGTGCCGCTCGGGCCAAACGATTACGGTTTCTCGCGGGGAAGGAGGAAAGAGGGGGCCATGTTGGTTATACACATCATGCCGCACAGGTGTAGGCTTAATGGATACAGTACGAGCTGGTCGAGCAAAGATTTGAGTAACGCTTTCCCTTCGACGTCTTGGGACCCCGTGGAGCAAGCTAACACTCTTCTTCTGGAACTTCAGGATATGAACTTCGGGAGGGCAAGGTTTCGAGAGGCCGCGATTCAACTTCTTGCCAGCGACAGTGTTTTAGTTGTCCGGCCGCGTTGTGGTGCACTTATGGGGGACCCGTATGTTGTAGAAAGCTTTGGCAGAGCTTGATGTGCGCGCCGTTTCTGAGAGTCTTCTCCGCGCTTATTTGCGGGGCCAGTCAGCCGCTGAACGAGGGGGGGAAGGAGCCGCCGAAGGAGGCTGCGGCGTGCATGAAGCTTTGGGGGGCGGTGGCGGCTCCGTGCAAGGACCCCGGCGAGCTGCGCAAGTACGTCCGCTTCTGCAGGGCGAAGCGCGTCAAGACGATGAACAAGAACAACCAGGAGCAGGCCAAGGTGCAGTTCTTGCTGGACGGCACCGCGGAGGTGGCGAGCCAGGTCCTGAGCAGCCTGCGGGCCGTCCTCCAGGCGCAGGGGGGCGCGAAGACCATAGGCGGGGCTCCCAGAGGCTCAGAGGCTCCTCGACACGATCAAGTAGTGGGAAGTAGGCCAGGACAGTTCAGTTGGGCAGACAGTAGTAGGGCTCCGCAGCTATTAAGACTGGGTGTGCTGTCTGAAATCGATGCTCTGAGAGTTTCGGGACTAGTTGCTCCCTCCGCTCCCTCGGTGATCCGCCCCTCTCCCCTCGAGCCCGCTCCTGGTCCCGAAACGGCCTCTGTCTTTCAAAACCCAACTTTTTATACTTTCTCGGCGGCTCCCGAAGTGGGGCCCGCGGTAGCGCTTCCCCCCCGTCGCCGCCAAGGGAAGGGGAAAGGACGAGGTGCACCCAGCCGGAGCTGACTCCTGAAGGTGGTGCCATTTGGCAGCAGCCGCAGGCTGCGCGCCAGTGGGCTCGCTGCCAGGCCTTCAGCGGCACCTCCGCCGCTGCGCACGCCTGGCACTTGTCTCGCCCTCCTCGCGGAGAACCCAGGCGCATTTTCTTTTGCTGCTCTCTGTGTTGCTGCGCTTCAGATTGCAGGTTGCTGTGAATTGAAGTTAGCAGCTCAGTGGTCCAGCACTTGGGGCGCGCCCCACGGTCATGCTCATGCTCATGCTACCCCCTCCTCCCTCCTCTTCGCCCTTCCTCACTCCCTCAAGCTGTTGCTCTCCCCCCCCGCGCGCAGGGGTGCGCGCGCAGTGGGCGGGGGGGCGGGGCCGGCGGAGGAGGAGAAGGAGGAGGAAGAGGAGGAGGAGGAAGATGAGGAGGAAGTGGAGGAGGAGGAGGAGGCGGAGCAGGAGGAGGAGGAGGACCAGTGTGAAACCAAGAGTCATCAACGATGTTGGAATTACCCCCCCCTCCAAGCTCCCTCTTCATGGGCCCCCGCAACGATTCGTTCCCATTGAGGGAACTGCCTCGTGGGAAGACAACAGCTTGAAGATCCTGAAGCATGCCAAAACATTGTTCTCGGGATTTTCAACGCCGCGTATCAACCTGACCGCTGCGTCTTGACGATCCAGAATCGTGCCAGAGCGCACTTTCTGGGGCTTCAACACCGCGAATCAGCATATGTGTTGCACCCGCATGATATTGAGCCCCTCCAAAACGCCATTTCTGGTACGCTGATCATTAGAACCCGTGAAATTTATGCAAATGTTTAAACGAATGTGGTCGGCGCTAAGGCGAGAGCCACATTTTGAAAACGGCCCGTCCTCAATCCGTGAAACTCTTTGCAACTGTTCAACCGAATGTGCGCGGCGTTGCGGCGAGAGCCTCTTTTTCAAAACCGCCCGCCCTCAACCCGTGAAACCCTTGCAAATGTTTTAGAAGAATGTGCGCGGCGCTAAAGCCAGAGCCACATTTCGAAAACGGCCCGCCATCAGTTCGTGAAACTTTTGCAACGTGTTTAAAACGAATGTGCGCGGCGATAATGCGAGAACCACATTTTGAAAACGGCCCGCCCTCAATCCGTGAAACTTTTGCAAATATTTAAAGCGGATGTGCGCGGCGCTAGGGCGAGAGCCACAGTTTGAAAACGTCCCGCCTTCCATGTGTGAAACGGATGTCACTTTTCAAGTTTCAGGGTCATTAGTGGTGAGGAAGTCTCAGGCGAAACGCCCGGCCCGCCATGAAAACTGGAATCGGACTGCGACAGGGAGGAGTTATCTATGAGGAGAAGGGATGGGGGACGTGGAGGAGGATGAGCAGCAGCAGCGGCTGGACTTCGATTGCCCCGCCCTCGACATCCGCGGTCCAAGAGTGCAGGTTCACATCTCGCGTTGCCCCAGCGAGTTCGCCAAGTAACCCAGAAGCCAGTTCCAGCAGTCAGGCGGGCCACGCCGCCAGCAAGGCGTGGGCAGCTCCGGCAGCAGACTTGCGGAGACGACGTCCGCGGCTTAAAAGCGGGGGGAATGCACCGAGGTCGCGGTTCGGTTGGCGGCGGAGCTGGTTGCCTTGCGGCCGCGAGCTGGCCTGCTGCAGGGGCTGGCGCTTGCTGCTGGGTGTGGGGGGGCTGGGCATAGTCTTCCTCGCGGTCTCGGCGACGTTCAGAGGGTGCCTTTCGTTCTGACCTCTCGGCTGTCTCAGGAGGGAGGGGGACTCGCAGGGCTTATCCGGTTGTCGGAGGTAAACGGCGCTTTTCAGGGGGGTCAGCGATTCTGTGAGATCTGCGAAGGCCCCCCGAGGCTTCCAGACGATTGCCGAACTCTAATGAGAATGTTTGAGGTTTATGACGAGAGGAGAGAAGGAGACAAGAGGCGGGGAATTTGACGTTTTTGCACGACGACGTGTTGACTGACTTCTGGAATTCGCGCACGATTGTCCAGTGCCCATGGCGATCGCAAAATGAGCGGCACGAAAAAATCCGCCAGTGCCCCCAGTCATTAGTGCGCAAAGTGATCGGCAGGCCGGCGCCGAACGCCAACCTTGCGCATAGCCGAATCAAGTCGTTCGTGTGGGATGCGGCGAATTTCAACGTGCTCGCCAAACCGTGATATCTTGAAACCTACGCAGTGCAACTTGGGTGGTGCAATTAGTGTTTCGCAATTCTGCAGTTATAAACCCCACTGCTCGCGCAACCACCCAAGCCTCCCACCCGCAACTTGCTTTGCCAACCCATGTGACGGCGATTGCGATGACTGTTCGGCCATGGCCGGCATCTTTGCGGCCGCGCTGGCACGCGCAAGCTCGCACGCAGAGTCGCCAGTTGGTGTGGCGCAATTGGTGCGGCCACGATGGCGCTTACCGATGGCAGCGTCCCATCGCGCGTCAATGGCCGCGCTGGCACGCGGGCACTTCAAGACGGGTCGGTGGCTCGGGCGGGCGCGGCATCATGACGACGTCGAAAACAGCGGCAGCAACGATGGTAGTGGCGATGGTAGTGGCAGTGATGATGATGGCGACGACAAAGCCAATTTCGACGCCGATGCTGGTAATGCCGATGACGATGACAACGTCCATGCGTCGATGACGAAAGTGCCTGACTGATGATGGCAGCAACTGCTGCAGTTGTCGGCGACGATGACGTGATGTGGCGGAGTTGATGACGGTGATGTTGGGGAAGTGCGCGCGCGGAAATCCAAGAATCCTAGCAAGCGTTGTGTTGGTCAACGTGGTGGTTCATACATCTTTGAAAAGCTCGATTCTGAAATGCATCCGAAAGCCAGCGTTTGTCGTAAGGGGTTCGACGCGCCCGCGTGGCGGAACGCGCTTGTGGCCCGCGTGGCATTACGTGCTACGGATTCGCGCATTGGGTGCATGCTGGATCAACGCGGATGCACCACGTGGTGGGATGAGAATACGGTTTTTAAGCGAGATGGCTAGAATCATGATTTCAGCACATGCGCTCGGGCAAAAAAATGCCGAACTCTGGGACGAATGACAACAGGTTTATTGTTTCATTTCGTTTGTAGATTGTGGCCACTGCAAAACGAGTGTGCTTGGTACAAGTTCGACATGTGAGCGTGCGCGTGTCACTCGTGAGAGATGTTGCACAGGGCGTTTGCAGCATCGAGAAAACTTTGCTGTTGTTATACTGAGTGCGCGCGC